GAGTGAAAAATCGTCTATTTTACTGGAAACAGCGTGTATAATAAAATTACATGGGTTTATATAGGGGAAAGTTCTGGGGAAAACAGCAACCAATCAGTTCTTTGGGTTTTCCATGGGTGGTCCGGTTGGTCCTGATTTGTCTACTCAACTCCTCAACCTTGAGGTGATTTTTTCCGAATGCATGGCCTGTGCGAGGAGAAGGAGGAAATGATAGTGGTTAATTAAACAATCAAGGTGACTGCCCCCAGTCATCTCCAACACCACTCCCCTCCTCCGATCGCAGCACTGTCCTCAGTGTGGTTCCAACACCACCCTCAGCTGGTACCTCGCATTCTTCTGCTATCACTAACCCTCCATGGGCCTCCTGTTGCTCCACAGTCTCATCTGGCTTAAGACGATTAAAATGCACTACAAATGCTCGTTGTTCTGGTCTTTTGACCGAGCGGGTGTAACACGTGCAGTCTGAAACAGTCTCTTGTATCTCGTATGNTTCCATTCTCGGCATTCCTGGGGTCAGTGTTTCCATCCGTAGCCAAACACGATCTCCTGGTCTTACTGGTGTACCGAATGACTTCCGGTCGTAGTATTCTTTTTGTCGTCTAGTCTTGGTCTGCAGATGTTGTCTCGCCATTTGCAAACCCCTGTGGATAATTTTCTGCAGTTGAATCACGTAGTCGCTTGTTGTAAGACCGTCGTTTGGTGGATCTGGGTTCTCTACGTCGATAGGAAGTCTCAGTTCTCTCCATCATCATCATCATCGTACAGCGAAATACAATGAAGCGAACTACGCTGATCGCTGCCAAACTCGCAATGCATACAAGCGGGTAAAGCGAAGTAGAGGCCCATTTACTTCGATCAATTACTCCTCTACCATTTTGCCGAGTGAGACGCCAACTCAAGTCGAACCCCCAAACTGGAGGACCAGGAGACTGAACTTCGTCTGACCTCTACCTATTGATCTCCCAGGCATGATTAAATCTGCGGCTTGACAAAAGCTATTCCGTATATCTTGTTGGGTCAGAGAGGTGCACAAGCCATCACGCCACGTCAAGGTGCAGTCTCGTCGTGATCGCTTATGTGTACCATATCTCTAGGCTCTGTGGTTAAAAAAACTGGTGCTTGTGGGTGTTTTTCGCTCAACGAATCAGTGCCCTCGAGCGCAACTACGTTTTTTGACGTAGTAATCTGTTCTACGACCTGTATGGAGCATGGAAACATTTTGCACGCATACACTCGTCTACATTGCTAGAACTGAGAATAGTTCCATCCATTGTTTATCATTTGCACCGTTTACGTGCGGCTGATGACCGACGGAGTATATTATCAGCAAGAAGTTTGGAGATGATGATTTTGATTTAGCGAATTCCTCTGTGGTTTTCATAGATTACGCTGGCTGGGACATGTGCTGCTCATGCCAACCAGTAGGTTGTCACGGCGAGCCGAAGCCGACAGTGAATAGAAAAAGGTCAAGGGCGGTCAACCTAAGGCCTTGCATAAGGGTGTGAAAACCCTAACCAAGACCCTGGGTCACAGATCCCGTTAGGCTCCCTGAATGGGGACTTCGAGATGATCCTACCCAATGGTTAGAGACACTGAGTGATATGGCTGACTGTCGCAAACAGTGGAGTTCGTACATCTCAATTAATCTTTAACATTATTCCATCAAAATTCTAAATTTTCTCTATAGTCCTATTTTCAACCTTTCCTCTTAATGTTCATCCTAATGATCAGCCAAAGGACAGCAACCAAAACCGGCGCACGATAGTGCATGGTTAATGGATGTACAAACTGAACTAACCATAATCACATTGAGTCCACCAGGCTCCCTGGATGAGTACTGCAAGATCATGATAACCCATAGTTAGAGACGATAAGTGATATGGCGGAGTATGGTAAACCGCTTTACTGTCGCCCGGTTCTATACGACGCCTGACCTAGCGGGGCCTTATGTGGTTCGCCACTCCAGGTTCCGGGGCTTAGGCTAACGGTTACCATCACTGAACAGCAGTTCCTCGTGACCATGGGGTTCCTCCCCGTTTACTGTCGATCACCGGTGTGTAATAAAAACGATCGAGTTCTTGTATCTTCTCGGTTTCTTTGCAACCTTATTCCACTAAAATTCTTCACTTTTTCGGACTCTACTTTCAACCTTCCTTTCCTTCTACTGTTCATCCAAATGAGCAGCCAAAGACAGCAACCACAACCGGCGCACGAAAATGCCTAGTTAGTGGTTGTACAAGCTGAAACTGATGAGGGTTTTCGGCCTGGATTGAATGCTCTCATCAGCTTTTAAGGCTGGACCTTGGCTTAAGCTCGTAAAACTAGCTTTCGGCGTGGGAAACGAAAGAGGCGCCAAGTGGATGATGTAAGTCATTCGTCTTACCCATTCCCAAGAAAGGTAACAGTTCCGCTTGTGAAATTCACCGACGGATTAGCTTGATCAACATTGTCTCGCTCAATTAGTACTCCTTCGTTTTTCTGCTGCATATGAATGGTTTTATATGCGTGAGAACGGGGTTAGTTTAGATCCAGTCGATGCCGTATCGATCGCCAAAATCCAGAACACAGTCTTCGTAGACCACTTCTATCTGCAAACGGCCTTCGACTCATACATCAGTTCTATACTCTGGCACTGCCCTTCTTTGTAGGGTGCGCCAATATTACCATTCCTCTGTACTAACAGCATACTGAACTTTTGGGCATAGAGGTGTATTGGGCGCCTTTGATGTTTGACCCCGTCCAAAAGGCGTATGATCCAGTGAATTGGACACCGACCCCCAATGGAATGCGGACTCTGAGCTCCGTCCTGTTGTCTTGCAGGTTTAGCTTTCTAGTCAAAGGCTTCGGATGGGGACCCCGAGGCTATCCCCTTCCTCGGCCTGGGCAACTGAGAAGTAACATGCCCACACAAAACTCCTGGGTTCAGTGTGGGAAAAGGAACAGGTTCCAACTGAATGGTGTGAATCGGTGATCATACCGATTTACAAGAAGGGCGACAGGTCCTCTTGTGAAAACTACGGAGGAATCAGTTATATTAACACTGCCTCTAAACTTCTCGCCGGTGTCATACTCCGTCGATTGTCTGCCGCTCGTGAAGAGTGCACACGTGAGAACCAGGCTGGTTTTAGACCTGGTCGAGGTTGT